AAATAGGTTAGAACAGAAATTATTTGTCCTTGATGGTTTTGAGAAACCTCCCCATAAAACCATCTGAGTCAGGTATCTTTTCTTAGCATTTCATCATTGATTACTTTCTGGTTATTGGTTATAGGTATTGAATGATTCACATTTTTAACTCCTTTAGTCAACTTTCCTAAAAGAATTGTTCTATTTCTCTAAATCTGTTCAAGATAATGCACTAGCCACATGTGGCCATTAAGCGCTCGAAATGTAACTTGTCCAAACTGATATATGCTGTAGGTATAAAATACACACGCGGTTTCAGAGTATAAAAAAGGGATTTATGATTTTACTTATCTGTGGAATCAAAAAAACCTGAACTCATAGGAACAGAGAGTACATTGGTTGCCAGGGGTTGGGAAAATGGGTGAAGGTGGTCAGAGGGGACGAACTTCCACTTATAAGATGGTAAGACTTGGGCATCTAATATACAACACGGTGGCTCTACTTAGCAAAACTGCACTGTGTACTTGAAAGTTGCTAAAAGAATAAATCTTGAAAGTTCTCACCACAGGAAACAAAACAGTAAAAACCTGAGGTAACAGATGTGTTAACTAGCCTTATTGTGGTAATCATTTCACAGTATATACATGTGTCAAATTATCACACTGTACACCTTAAACTTATACAATGTTATGTCATTTATATCTCAATAAAGCTGGAAAAAAGATTGTAAAAGGATTTTTTTAATATTTTGATTACAAATTGAAATATTTTAGATACATTGGGTTAAATAAAATGTTTTCAAAACTAATTTTACTTTTTTTAAATGTAGCCATTAGAAAATTTAAAATTACATGTGACATGTCTGTGGCTCACGTTACGTATTTATTGGATAAAGCTAATTTAATTTTCAAATTATTGGCATAGAAGTTGTATACAGTAGTCTTATATGCGTATCAATTTCTCCCATATGATAGTTTCCTTTCTCATTCTTAATATTTAAAATCTTTTTTTCTCCTTATCGCACTTGCCAAAACTTTTGTTTTTATTGGTCTTTTCCTAAAACCAGCTTTCACTCTAGATCTAACTACTAGTTTATAGAAAGTAGAGGAGACAGAGGAACATGTTAACCCATTGGAGATAAAATCTGCAAAAATAGACTGTTTTCCTCTACATGACAATCTGGACTCTTTACCAATTAAATTACATGAAAAGTAAAAGACAGGAAGGCAGAACCTCAAGATACTTGTGAAAACAGTCTAAATGTAATAATTGGTCTGTTTGGGGTCCTGACTTGAATTCACCTATTGGAAAATTTTTAAGGTATATAAATGTCTAATCACTGTTGCCAACTATAATTAAAATTCAAATTTAAAAAATGTTAAGAAACAATTAAGGAAATTTGAATGATGACTGGATATTTGATAACATTAGGAAATGATTGTTCTTCATTTTTAGGTGTAACAATAGTATGTGATTATGTACTTTTTTTAAAAAGTCACTTTGAACTATATACTCAAATATTTAGATGGAAAGTCATGTCAGAGATTTGCTTCAAAACAATCTAGTGATGGTGGTGGTGGGTGGGGGGAGTAGAGATGAAACAAGATCGGCCCCGAGATGATCATTTTTGAAGCTGGCTGATGATTACATGCAGGTCTATTATACTAATTTACTTTAGGATATGTTTTAAATTTTCCATTATGAAGAACATAAAAGAAAAAAAGGTCCTGATTATACTAACCAAGTTTGCTTTGCTTTTCATTTCAACGATTTGTGCTTTGGTCTTTATAAAAAAATTTCTTCTTTGGTTTTATTTTACTTCTTCTAGGTGGTCCTTGTAGTACTTTTTTTGTGTATTTTTCATTTTTTCTTGTTTTATAGTAAGTGCATTTAGGCTATAAATACTCCTCTAAGAACCACTTTGGCCGCACAGCATAAGTTTTCATGTGTATATTCTCCTGTTCATTTCCAAACAGGCTGTGAATTGTTTAGAACTTGTTATATTTTAGTGACAGAGAAATAATCCAGTTATCAAGAGATTGAGGACAATAAACGTCTACAGCAAAGCTGAAGAACTAGGAGGAAGCTGTTGTAATACAATTTTTTCAACTACAGCTGACATTCAATATTAGTTTTAGGTGTACAGCATAGTGGTCAGACATTTATATAAGTTACAAAGTGACCCTCCCTTTAGCCATTATTAATTTTTCATTGACTGTTTTCTATGTTTTGTTTTGTTTTGTTTTTAAATCTAGGAAGACCTTTCCTACCAAAGTTTCTCTTTATCCAACATTCTAATTCCGAGGCAGAATTCTCTATTCCCTTTCAGGTTGCTAGAGTCTTTGGCTTAAAGAGCACCCAGATGAAGCTGAAAGAAGGGTCGTTTCTGTGGTACCTCTACCTGGACAAACTGTACTGCTTATTATCCGTGAGGAACGTGAAGGCCCTGGTGGAGTATTTTCACCTTCTTGATGTTCACCGCAACAACACGTTGAATGGTCAGTACCTTCAGAAATGTTTCCTCTGAGTCATTACCTGGTTTTTAATCACCAACTGAGACCTGAGGCTGTTCAGTAAGGAGAATAACATTTCTGACCTAGGAAGACCAGGTGCTATAGGCATAAAAAATTAAAAATAAGGGATTGTAAACTGACAAGCTCCTTGCAATCTGTGAGGTCAACCAAGGGTTGCCTCGCCTAAAAAATAAATAGATAAGATTGCTGGCTCTGGGGTTAAATCCTGGCTCCACCCATTATTCTTTGGTGATTTGGAGAACACATCATCACCCTCCTTAAGTCTCATTTTCTTCATCTGTAAATGAGGATTCTAATAATGGAGTCCATCTCATACTTGGAAAAAAAATTAAATGAGACAATGTATGGAAAATTCTTAGCCCATCGTAAGGACTTAATGTTTGTTATTACAATTATTCCTGGGGGCTGAGCCCCACTCCGGCGTTAACCCTGAAGACCCCCCTCAGCCAAGACTTCTCTTTTTTCAAATGAGAAGTTTGAATCAGATAGATGAGCTGCAAGATCTCTTCTAATTCTTGGTACTTATGACTGACCAAAAAGTATGGATGATCTCAATCTTGCTTTTGAATGCACAAACTAACAGAAGACCAATTAAAACACTTCAGTTTTTTTTGGGGGGGGGTGGGGGGGACTGGGTATAAATAAGGTATCCTATCCATCCATTGTGACCTGAGAGACATAAATGTCATTTGTGAATAAGGGGTTTCTTCCATAAAGATTTTTAAGAGTTCATTCAATCTTTAAAAACGAAGACACCATTTTCTCACCATTTCATGCCTGTTTTTCTCTTTACGTATAGATTTACACAGGGTATGACACCAAATCTTTGTAATAACCCGGCCATAGATAAGGCAACTGTAGGGCTCCTAACCGTAAAGAGAAAAAAAAAGCTGGAACTGAAAGCCACAGCTTTCTGACTCCAAAACCCACACCCTGAGTCTCACCGGAATGTTTGCGAAGAAGAGTCTGGTCTCCCTAGTAACAGAATCACCCCCTGATGATGCAATCAATACCCAAGAGGTAGTCGTGCTCATGTCTTCTGGTCACCAAGGGATTGGAGAGTGACCTGAAAAAGCAAAGGCACAGCCTGAAGCTTTTTTGCCTTCCAGGGAGGCTCCATGACTTAAAGCCTTAGGGACCTGAGTAGGCCAGAGCCAGCTGGTTAAAAACAGTATTTGTGAAGGAGCTACTAAGTCCACACTAAAACATTTCTCAAAGAGCGACTACACAAACGTCACCGTGTATATGTGACGTGGTGTGTGGTCCCCACATGCTCAGACCTGGTGGGGCATACAGAAGGAACATCAAGAAACCACCAGAAGTCCCCACATCATGACACTGTGACAATTGGTTCACTGTGCTCTTAGCTAGCTTTAACTGGGACTCCAAACTACATGGATGTTTTATGTATTTAGTGGAGCCATATCTTATGCAGGAGATAGCTTCCGTAACTAGCGGGCAAAGGGAAAGCAGGTATAGACAAAGTTACACATGAAAATTTCTTAAGTAACTATGGGCAATTAGTATATACAACTGTATGAATGTTTTCTTCACATTTGTTTCTTCCATCCTATGAGACAGATGATTAGTAAGTGGAATTTCAGGTAAAACCTTCCCTGTCCTTTAAATCACAGTATTTTTTCTTCTTAGTATACGACTGACTGCATTAACTAATGCCCTTTTCACCATGAGAAGAGCAAGGCTGTAGAGTCAGGCAGACCACATTTAGATCCCAGCTCTGCCACTCAAAGCCTGGTCACAGCAGCCACATCTCCTAGGAGCTTGTTAGAAATGCAGACTCAGTCCCAAGCCAGATTTCCTGAATCAGAGCCTGCATTTTTACAAGATCCTCAAGTAATCAGTGTACCTATTACAGCTCAAGCAGCATTAAAACAGACTAGTTACTATCCAAGGCGCATTATAAAATGGTGTGATGCCGCTTTCTCTGAAAGGTTGTGGCATTTAAAGTGCCTAGCACTTGAGGTGCTCAATAACAATTGTTTCTTTTCTCATAGCCAAATGCATTCACTTTAATCCAAGCATGAGGAATACTGAGACGTTCGTAGAAGAGAAACGATTTTTTAATTTCTCGTTTTCACCATTATTTCTACAAGTGAAAGCCCCAGGTGAAATGTCAGCTTCTCCAAGTGTCCTCAGTCCCTAGTGAGAATTAAGCTTCTTTCTTCCAGGTACGACAGCGGTCCCCAACCTTTTTGGCACCAGGGACCAGTGTTCCTATGAGAATCTAACACCTGATGATCTGAAGTGGAGCTGAGGCGGTGATGCTGGCGCTGGGGAGCGGCTGCAAATGCAGCTGAAGCTTCGCTCACCCACCCGCTGCTTACCTCTTGCTGTGTGGCCCGGTTCCTAACAGGCCGTGGATTGGTATCAATCTGCAGGCCAGGGCTTGGGGACCGGATGTACAAGCAGCACACTGTGGCTTCTATCGGTTACCTATACACACTTGTCCGTGCCATCGAGTGTGTGAGCTGGAGTCAGGAACCAAGCCCTTCCCACCCTCATTATCCACAATTCCAGGCACAGTGCTTCTTCCACAAAGCTCAAGGGCAGTTAAGGTCTGAGGAATCATGGAAGGTATAGTGGCGAGGCCAGAAATTATCATTATTACTATTCCCCGGTCACAAGCTCCCAATACCACAACCATTTATGTGGCTCCCAGTTATCTGGCACTGTGGAACTGTTTGAGAATAATCCACGTCCTGTCTCCCACCATTACAGATGTGCTGTTCTATCACTTCCTTCATCACGTGACTAATTTGAAACGGAGACAGATCATGATTGTGTTTAACATGTTGGACTGGAATGCTATGGGCGAGATTGCTTTTGACCAGTTCTACATGTTAGTTTGCATCCTGCTGGCACAACAGGTGAGTACAACCTACCCAGGTCCCCAGTGAGAATTAAGTCAGGGTGTGGGGCAGAGGAGGCCAAGCTTGGCAGCTGCCACCATCTTGCTGGAGGTAGCATTGAATTACAAATATACCAGAATGTTCTTCCTTTCACTCGAAACAGGAAGAAAAAAACTCAGGGAAGAGCTACTTTTGGTTCCTGAATGTTCCATCTATAGCCTATGCTCCCCTGCTGCCTGTGCCCATCTTCAGCTCTCCACCGCTGCCTTTCTAAATAGATGCCACCCTGCCACGTCTGCCCATGGCATGCCCTTCCTTGCCTGTTCTAGCTCGTGATACTTAAAGAATCACCAGTAATCCCATGCACCTCACTGCAATGATCCTCTTTCTCTCAGAGAACTTTCTGGAGAGGAATGATGGAGATGACAGACGGCTCTTCCTCGGGTCCCACCTTACCTTATATGTACCTTCGGTGTGCATTTAGCCATTTGCCATTCCTTGTCTCCATTTTATCAACAGTGCTGCGATGTTTCAAGAGTAGATTTTTGCTGAACGTAAGGAAACGCGTTCTAGTGACTAGATTTCAGTCTAGCAGAACTAATCACTGCAGATGGCATAAGTCCCCCTTGAAGGCAGATGCTAAAGCAGGACCTTTTCAACCCTGAGCTTCCATGATTTTGCCTTTCGCTTCTGGCTCTCTCAGGAATGGACTAGGGAATGTAGGAGTCTTGATGTAGCAAGTTTAGAAGTAGCACCAAGAGCACTGTTTCTTGTCTTGCATCTTTCTCTCAAAATAGAACCACTTGGAAGAGCAATTTATCTTCCGCCACTCCCGGCCTGTTTTTGAGCTGCTTGACCTGGATGGGGAGATGAAAATTGGTCCAGAAAACTTCCACATGTACAACTTCCTCTTCAATATTAAAAAGCAGGAACTCAGAGAGCTCTACAGTGACTTTGACGTGACAGGTGACTGTGTAAGTGCAGATCCCTAAAGTGGGGCCTGGCGGCCTCTCTGTCCAAAGGCAGAGGACAATGTCCTGCTACGTACAGTAGAGATCAGGGAAGAGATGGGTGGGGAAAACCTGCTTGAGTGTGGTACGGAGCTAGGATCAGGAAAAACTGGAGAGATATACAGGCCTGTGGAAGAGACAGGACTGAATAACTAAGTGGTACATCACATAATGCAGATACAAAATTACAAAAGCTTAGAGAAGAAAATTTTGCTTAAAAGTTGTTTAGAGAAGGAACTATACTAATTCGGCAGGAGTTGGTGTTGGGGAAGGGCATATACATCTGAATAAGTAGAAAGGAATATACATCTGAATAAGTAGAAATTCTATAATGGGAACACACGAGCAAAATCCCGGGAGACAACTGTGGTGAAGATAATGAATTCTACCTAAAGAGGAAGCAAGTGGGAGCTAAGGTGGGAAAAGATGGCTCACCCTGTGAGGAACCTCAGATGCCAGCCTCAAGTGTGTGGACTTGACATTGTAGAAGTAAAAGTGACCCTTGGTTCCTTTAGAGTCTACAACAGACTCTGTTCTTGGCTCTTAGACTACAATCAGATAATAATTTTGTCCTAATTACTGAGCCTCTTTTAAGTTTCCAAGTTTTAAAATGAGAAATGATTACAACCCTGCTGTCATCTGAAAGTATCAAGTCCTTCCTGAAATAATTTTTCTTTTCTCCCCCAACAAAAGCGTCTTAATTACAAGGAATTTAAGCTGTTTACTATCTTCACCATGGACAAATACCAGGAGATGAAGAAAGCAGAGAAAGAAAAAGAGAAAGAAAGAGAAGACTCTGCTTAAAAAGAAAATGAAGTTACATGAATGAAGTTAATGTGAGTCAAAAAGAGTCTTCTTGGAATAAATAAATCTGAAAGAATATAAGTAATTACAACTATTAACATGTCCAAATATAAACTTGGAGCACCAAAGCGGACATCTTTACACTGACTGTGATATACGAAGGGTTCAAATGAGTGCTCCTCAGGCAGCAGGTTAACTCTAAACATCTTCTGACCTCACAATAATGTGATGTGCAATAACCATTTTCTCTTTGTGCACACGTCCCAATTCTGCTTCTCCTTTTCAGATCAACCCCTTTCATTAGGTCCCTGTGTCTCCACATAATCACCAACACTTAATGGAGCTAAGCAGTTGAAAGGTAATGCATTCTCAATATTTGTCACTAGTGTCTGATACTTTTAGAATCCTTTCTATTTTCCCAGTCCTTAAACTAAACCTACCTGGATGCAAGATACTTCAAACTGGCAAATGGTGAAGTGTCTCAAACCATAAGGGAAACGGACTTTTAAGAACACGGGGGCTGTGGCTGTGTTCTTCTTAGAACCTGAATTACTCTCATGAGTTAGGTGCTTAAGCAAATGGACCAGATCTACTAGGGTAAAATAATTACTACGTTCCATGAGTTTAATTTTTTATATAATGCCTTGAATAATTTTTAAATGTGTTTAACACAGAACTTGTGGATGCTCCCTGATTGTGCTGTCATGCTGATGATGATAAAGACCACTCAGTAAGCACTTGTTACGGGTCAGGCAGGTGCTTTAAATGCTTGACTCATAATCCTCTGAATTCGGTGTTACCCTCGATTTACAGATGAGGAAACTGAGGCCTATAGAGAGTAAGCACCTTACCCAAGAACATATGGCCCACTAGTGGTAGGACCGGGATTCAAATTCAAGGTCAATTAGATGGATGCCTGTGCTTAGAGCAAGTGATCCGAGTAACTCGTTTTCGCAGATTCCGTTTAAATCTTAAGTTTCGTTTCACTGGCTCAGAAATTCATCCACATCGTGCTAATGACCACATCTCCTCCTATCATGAATTTCTGAGGAACGAGTTTAGCAATTAAAGAAATACAGCTCGCTTACTATAAACAAAGTATTTCTTAAGTATACATTACGCAACATAACTGACCTTAAGGCATTCGAGTTCAAGGGATACAGTCATCATCAAGGATCAGTGTCAATTGCAACAGATAATGCTTGTCTAAGATTGTCATTCTTGCTCTAGAAGACATGGGATTGTGGTAACATGCTTATGACCATTAGTAATATTTAGCAGCCAAATCACCTCCCTCTTCCCCGAAATGGTGCTACAAAAACTGAACGGAGCTAGCAAAACAAAACAAAAACGAATCAACAACAAGTCATTTGACTTCTCATGCCTGATTTAGACATGGAAATTGTGAAATCAAAAAGTTGCAAAGCATCTCACTTAGAACAGTGTTCTCCCCGTCCTCTGATTTGGTGATAAGTCTGCAGTTATTCTCTAAGAACACCTTCTGGCAAACAAGTTTGGACGCTACTACACTTACACAGAGTACTGGACCGAGAGACTAGTACAATCTGGCTGGAAAATGTCAGCTAGGGATTATGTGTCGTTTCAAAGGGTCTTACCACTAAGCTTATTTGGGGACAGGTTTCTGCTTCTTTTGTGGCAGTCTACATGGCTTTTGCTACCAGACAGCCTTAGGATCCAGGCGTAGTTCTGGGAGGAGAAACTGCAACGTCTTAGGAAGACTTCTTTCTCGTTTTCCAATGGGAACAATCCCGAGATATGTAAAGGGTAACCACAGCATATGTTTTTTCAGACATGGTCTCTAAGGCAAAGAAGATACTATACAATCTACTGTTTCAGAATGGGGGCAGGGAGAAAGGAGGGAGAGCCAAAGATAATAGGTATAGGATTTAATTTGGGGTAAATTTTAAACTAAAATTTAAATGTTGAAATTATTTATTTCAAATTAATTTAAAATAAGTTAATATAAATTTAAGAAGTAGAGTTTGAGACATGACCAGGGAGTATAGTTTTCCCCTCCTTCCTAGATATCAACGGGTGACTATAAAAGTACCCTGATCCAACTGTCAGGTTCCTGTTAAGAGCATTTTTATCATCTGTGTGGTCCCAGAACGGAATCAGGAAACTGAGCATTTGCTTCTGCTGAGCCCCAACTGAAACTCGGTGTAAAAACTAAAATTCAATCACCTGTAAAGTGGCACTCTTTTGGGACTAGGAGCACAACAAAGCAATCTGTCAATGTTCATTTTAGGACTTTTTTTTTCTCGATTATATTATGTGACTTAAAATGTGTTTGTGGGTATACTTAAATTAAGTTTCGTTATGTCCACACTGAGTCAAACTACTGTGATTTCAAGGGTACAGCTTAACAGACCAAGTACATTTGGGTACGTTTTGCATAGCAATAACACTAGATTATTACTGTCACATTCACGTTAGACTTATTTGGTCAACAAAGCATGTGCTTGTTCAGGGGCCTAAGCAGATGGGGAGGAGCCGCACTTGCAGGGGCAGGTGACGGGCAGGTGACGGGAAGGCTTGACTGAAGAGATGACTACAGTTCCAGCCCAGGGCCAGGGGACGGGATCCTCCACGATCTCTATCCAGCTACAAAGAGGAAAGAAATTTAGGGGAAGCTAACTATGCAAAGTGAAATCGCTTTTTTTCTACCAGTCCTTAGTTCTCACGCATTATCATCACAGGCCTCATGCCCAAAACAAAGATTAGAAAAAGGCCAAACCGAATTTGCTGAGATGGGGGTTTACCAATGTGAGCAGCCCGTGCTGGGCCAGAGAACAGAAACCACAGGGGACTGGCCACAAAGGAGTTCTCAGCCACACTCCTCATCTCTCTTTTAAATTAGTAAAAATACCAAATCACAGCATTTGAGAGTTGGACACAAGGTGTATTTGCTCATTTTTCCAATTAATAAGAAAAGACCATTAAAAAAGTATAGTCTTAAAGTGTCATAGAGTGATTTTTTTCACTTCACTGGGAAACAGAAAGATGAAAATGATTCAATAAGTAGTATCAGGAAAAGTAAGGTGGGCAGCTGGAGGAAAGTAAATCTGGGCTGCTACTCTGTTCCCTGCACCAAATAATGGAACTATTTAAAAAAAATACATGAGGAAAAATTTTTTAGACTCTCAGAGTGGGTAAGACCTACAAGACTGATAGATCTCACCATACAAAACTTAAAGTTTGCACGTGATAACTTATACAAAAACAAAAACAAATGATAACACATGATGGAAAATGACTAATTTTCTTAATATAGAAAGAATATTTACAAATCAAGAGGAAGAAGACCATAATGCACTAGGAAGTGGGCAAACATAAACAGAATTCACAGAAAAAAAAAATACCAATGGCCTTAAAAATATACAGTAAGAGGCTAAACTTCACTCAAAGAAAAACACTCAGTAAAAACCACAGGACACAGATTTTTCACTTAGATTGTTAAAGATCAAAAGGTTGGTCGAGGTGAAGGGAAATCAGGGCAGTCACACTGCTATGGTATTAAACTGGTAAAATCTTTTTGGAAGGCGATTCAGCAGCTACTGTCTAAGCGTAGCTACTGTCTGACCTGGCAGCCCGCCCTCTTCAGCAGTGCGTGCGGTAGATGCACAGAGTCGCTAAGATGCAACTATGGAGAAGGACGTTTCATGGCTGCACCGTTTACAGTAGTAAGACTGGAAACGGCTAAACTGACCAGCGGTAAGTCTGAAATAACTACGGTGCTCCAGGACAATGGAATATTACTGCAGCACGAGGCGGAATGAAGCAGAGCTAACTCTACCTCTGTGAAACAATCTAAGAGTCACCATTTTAGAGAAAAATGAAAGGTGTAGAGTACACGAATTTATGGAAAACACGGTAGGGTGGGTGAATATACATACTCACATACACTAGCTCAGTGGTTCTCATGTGGGATTCCCAGGCCAGCATGAGCAGCATCTGGAAACTTTTAGAAATGCAAAATTATTGGGCTCCACTCAGATCTACTCACTTGGTACTTCTGGGGGAAAAGATCCAGCAATCTGTGTTTTAATAACCCTCTAAGTAATCCTGATGCATGCTCAAGTTTGAGAACCATTATGCTAAACTGGTAACAGCTATTACTCTGGAGAAAAGAAAGAGGAGATAAGGAATAGAATGAGAGAGAGACTTTTCGCTTGGTACGTTGGCCCTTTTTCTCCACGCATATGTATCACCTATTTTAAATAAAAATTTAGCAATCAAAACCTGCCACTTTGATCCAAAATGAACAGGAAATGAGCTCAGTGCTTCTGAAAAACTGAATTAGGTTTTGGTTTACAGCACGATTCTTAAAAGAAATAATGACCTATTTTAGACCAAGATTTCAATGCAGAAGATAAAGCATATCTATAAATGACCGTGTACGGTTTGGCATAGCAGAGCCTAAGTCTGGTGATAATGAATTTGTTTTTTATTGAACTGAGGTTTTATAAAGGAGGAAAACCTTTTTAGAGGTTTTATTCATATGAGGCAGATTACCCTAATTGTAGAGAGTAATAACAATTAAAAAACCCAAAATAAAGGCAAAGACAAAGGGAAAAATTGAACATTTTTTTTTTAAAAAAGCACAAAAACCCTACATACTAAAATTGTACACATCAAGTATTGGTCCAATCTTATACCAATCTATTTACAATTAAACAGCACCATGGTTTTCTTACCTAGGTTAGTTAAACATGCCCAGAAAATTGTTATTATTCAAAGTATATGTTCCTTAAAATAAACTCTTGAGAGCTCAAATCCTCGACAGACAAAAAGACCTTTTATCAACCATAAATTACTTATATAGCCAAATTTACTTAAGAAAAATAGATTTGAACACTTTTTTCCAGTTAACAAACTTTGAGAGATGTTGCTATTCGATGTGACACACAAATTAACAAAAGCTTTTTGATGAAAGGGCATTATATTGAAATACCCTCATACATCTCCACCTCCATATATAAAAATACTCCTTTGGAATTAATGCTGCTTTATCCTCTTGAATTTAGATTTAATCATCATCAAACCTAAATTAAATGTAGCCACAATCTTGAAAACAATTGCGTGAATAGGCGATGTAGTTAAAGCTCTCAGAAAAATGGTGTGTTACAATTATAAATATTGAATCTAACAGGCTATAGGAAGTGTAATACCGTTTTAAACATTACATTTTAACTAATTAGCAACTTCGTTTTGCTATTTAAATTAATAATGGTGCTTCACATCCAAATAGGTATGGAGGTTTGATAATTTCCCAACTGCAAACAGTGGTAAGTGCCTTCCTCCTCTACTTTTCCATCTCATGGACAATCAGGGGTACGGGGGTCATGTGGCAGCCCCCCTCTTATGGAACCGAACCAACCTTGAAAAGGCTCCAAATTAAATATCCTCAGTAGCCTTACTCCAGTCACAGTACAAAAGAATCAGGTTATCTTACCAGATTTTTCAGTCCTCTATAAATGAATTTGCAGATGGTTCTTAATTTGCCTCTTTGCTAGGAAAGATGAGAGAGGAAAATTATCATCCACCATACCTACAGTAACCGTGAACTGGAAAGCACTGAAGTATCAAGCAACATTTCACCATTTGGTTTCACGGCTGATGTCTAAGTGATGTCAGTAAATCTTTCACCTTAGTAAATTACGAGTTGAAATTTTCTCTAACAGACTGAAAATAGGCACAATTCTCCCAGGCACAGAATGGTTTTCCTCACACACTTGCTGCAGATTAGGGAGAAGAGAGAATTACTTTATTATGCAACAGCGGGAGTGGCCGTGTGTGATCCCTTGCGCTTCCTGGCCCAGTGTTCATTCATTTGGGGGCACAGTTAGCTGAAACGTTCCAAGCAGAGTAGGGAGAACTAAGGCTTATATAGTACTGACCTTCTAAGCCTGGACGTGAAAAGAGCTTCGTTATTTAGACATTTCAAAATGCCTACGCAGTAAGAGGACAAGAGACTTTTCAACTGAATACCAGCTGAAATCAGAGATCTGATTGCATTGACTACATTATTGCCTAGTGTTCCAGAAGGGGGCCTGCCACCAACGTGTGGCAAGGCACCGAAACTTGGTGTGAATGTAAATAAAGAGCTCGACATGTGGGGATGGGGAAAGCAATACTGAGACAGAATCTGCCGGTCTCTGATCCGTTACGGCTAAATACTAACTGAGCAAAGAAGTAAGACCAGAGTAGAAGTGAACCTCAAATACTGCTCCTTCCAGTTTCCATTTTAAAAAGCTCAAGTTTTATAACTGTTATTGATGATTTCTGGAAATTAAATTTACTTTTATAAAAATTTTGTATTCACAAGGTGCTTGGTGCTGTTCTTCATGGATGCAATGTTCTATTTACAGTCCAAATCATTTAAATACAGCCATTACATAGTTGCTGGGTGTTTTAAAATAAATGGTTATCTATTTCTTAACTGCCCCTCGAATCAGAAATTATAATTACATGAGTCTCAAAGGCTAGCTCTTTGTGTTTTATTAATTATTTTTGTTGGTCTCCATCACAGATGGAATTTTTCACTGGTAATTCCTCAGAATGAAACCCATTCATACGGAATTCAGAGCAGTAAAAATAAATTTCACGCCACAGAGTAGGCAATGACAATAAAAAGGAGTGGGAGGGGTCTGGAAACCGGCCAACAGGACCAGCTCAGTTCTCGACTGGTGTCGGGTTTTGCAGAGGTTGGCTCATTATAACCTGTACGACATAGTCCTTTGGGATCTTCAGCTCCTCCAACTTCATTTTGTCAGTGAGAGGTCTGCCGGAAAAGAACCACCGCTGACCACTCGGCTCCACTCCTTCCGCTGCGTGGAGCCGCCTCTTCATGTGGTACACTGTGTCTGTGCTGCGGACCCCAAGTTTGAGGTCTCTGCCAGTGGAGAGGCGCAAACGCAGCTGACATTCATACCCAGAATTGGGAGGTGGCTCAGGAATATCCAGAGTCTCTATGTCACTCTTTTCTTCTATCATGTTGATTGGTGGTGCCAAGCAGTAGACGGGGAGCTGGTATCTGTTTCCCAGTTCATCGTAGCACTCGGTCAGTGCACCTTCAGGAAGAAGATATGATTGAGAGTTTTATCTAAACGAATGCACTGTTGTTTACCCCTTGCAAAATGTTCAAGCATCTCTTGCTAGCTTGCCACTGTAGAGAAAAAGATTAAAATAAGGCCGATCACTGCCAACTGACCATCGATAATGATCGCTAAGGCCCATGACCAATTATTTGAGTGTTCATCTAATTTCACATTAACCAGGACCCTAGCTTCTCACCCTCACCTCTTCTAAGCCATTTCATACCTAATTCACATTCATTAAAAGAAAGCACACAAAATTCAAATTTACAAATATCACTAATGCTTAGACCAAATTAAGGGAAGATTCAAACTGCAGTGGGATCTTTTTAAGAATCGGCTTCCTTAAAAAAAGCAAAAAACTATCTCTTAAGGCCAACTTCCCACAACGTAGTGGTCTAGAGCAGTTTTCTTAGTGCCCAGACCTTCTAAGCTGAAGTACTTGGCCAGAGCCTTAGTTCAAGGAGAACACAACCTAGAGATGCCTATGGATCACGGTTTATAAGAACTTCATTTGCACAATTACTCAGAAATGAGTGAGGTGTTTCATTGAACCCCCATCAGTCATTCTGTTACAGAAAAGCTATGGGTTAAAAAGGAGGAACAAGTCACCAGGGATGCACATGCACAGAGAAAAGGCCTCAGAATGAAAAAAAACCCTGCCGACACCTTGATCTTGGACTTCTAGCCCCTAGAACTGTGAGAAAGAAATGTCTGTTGTTTAAAAAAAGTGGGGGGAGAGACAAAAGGGCTGTATGAAGGGCTCAGAGAAAGGAGAAACGCATTTATGGTTTAAAAGAAGGTATTAATAACCACGGTTTTAATAAAGCATTAACTGCATTATAATCACCAGGATTTCCCCTGGGAAGCTTGAAAGCATACTTAATGAACGTTTTTTATAAGGTTATTCATAATGTGTCCTTTGCTCAGGCTAGAACATTAAGGTCAGCTGATTTTCAGTTTGGATAAAACACAAAAACATCAACCATATTCAAAAACACTTAAACGCAGCCTAATAAATATGGGGAGCGAGACACTGAGAAACGCTTACCAATGAACAAATAAGTTAATCAACTGATTTCTGTGGTCATTATCAACAGGCTGAAAATACAAAGCATCGGAAATGAGACCGGAACCGTGGGTTCGATCAAGTACACCTTCTAGGTACATAATAGGGGCTGTGCTGAGAGCTAAGTCACGAAGCATAACACACGTGAAGCATAACACACGTGAAGCTCCCCGCTCTTGTTTCAAGATACTGCTTAGCCCGGGCTGTTCACTAATTAATCTGAACGCTGCCATGGCACTGGAGAAATGGATATAGTTGTGAGCAGCAGCAGTTTGCCACACTAGTAACCATCACACTGCAGTACCAACATTATTTATAAAAAGAGGTGGAGTCAGTTGTGTCAACTTCACTGTTTATATACTGTATTAGCCTAGTCCTGAGGCACAGAAAGCTACCAGTGCCTTTCAGATGGGCTGGCCATCGGGAGAACAGGAAGAGAAAGTGGAGAGTTCACTAAAGACATCTTCAGATACATATCCCAAAGACCGGGGGCCACGGCAGGCTGACAGGTTTGAGAGCATACTTACATAATTGTGCTGCTAGAAAACCATTCTCTTAGAGAGGCCTCATTCCAAATCATTACTTTTGGAATCAGGAAACCAAGATGAAATTCCCAATCTTGTTATTAACTAGCTGTACAGCCTTAAGCAAGATTCTTTAATCTGAAATACCCTTCTCAATCAGCAAAATGAGGCAGGGTCAAATTGACCTCTAAAGTAGTGTCCAGGTCACACAGATGCTTCTTCATTTTCATGTACCGTGACAGAAAACAGCAGGACTGCAAACCATAGCAGTCCAAGTGCAGGCAGAAAGGTGTCTTTACACGCGTAGGCTCGCTAGAAACCAGGGTGAGGTGTCACAGCAGTCTGTGCACTGTGCTCACACAGTAGTGCACGCCAATTTCAACATGCACGTACAATCTAATAGGCACTGGGCTCTTCCTAGATCTGAATGCTCACTCCTCCAGCACAATGAAAAGCCGACTCTTTCCTTCTGCCCTTCAGCCCAGCAAGGCAGGGGTTCAGTTTTCACATCTCAAATGGGTGAGAATAAAAACTCCAAGGAACAGGTACAGCCAGACAGCTTATCTTCTTATTCCAGCTCAGGTAGAGCTCCTATCTATAATGCTGGAAATAAGCTATCCAGCATCTGTATTACTTAGAAGCTCTCATATTTCATTTAACAAAGTTTTCTGGTTTATGTACTCTTATCCTTACTTCTGCCTGTCGAATTATAATCTGAGTTATAAATATGCTCTAGTTTTAAAGTAAAAATTAAACAGGGAAAAAATCCAGACCATGAAGCATGATTTAATTACATTTTTGGGCTATAGTTTTAAATATCTGGGAACATAAGGTATCAATAAAAATGAGCTCTGCTTACAACATAGCCCATAGCTGAATATACTCCAGAATTATATATTCAGAGCGGAATGGCTCCTTTGTAGGCCCAGACTCTTTTTAATAATATACTCCCAACTTCCTACTATCTACTGGCTCCATATCTCTTTATTAAAGAAAAAACTGCTCCACTGATAGTGACCTCCATCACACTACCTCTTTAGGACTTCACAAAGATCTCCAGGAAACAATCCTCACATTCCATAGAATCGCTGCATGAACATTTATTAAACACCTAGAACCGTACAGGGCATATCATTGGCACTGAGGGGAGGTTGTCCTTGAGCCCCAGGAAATGAAAATCAAGGTGAGCAGATACAACAGACCCACCGAAGATTTAAGTACAAATTTGATATGCTAAAAATCAAATGTAGAAGCTGAGATATCACACACGTGACTAGAGCTGGTATAGTCAAGGAGAAGTTCTGTAGAAATCGTGTGTTCTGGGCATGACACAGAACACAAATGAAAGACATCCCAAGAAATATGAATGATAAGGAAATGAGAACGAGTACAACGTAAGTAGAGAACAGCAAGTGGCTTTGTTGAGGGGGAACATAGATTCGATGATGTAAAATTGCTAACTAGACAGCAATAGTGAGAACCTGACAGCAGAGTTCAGGCGCTGAGGCTGAACACGACGAGAGCTGAACAGAGGCAGCCGATGCAGGTGCACGAGTCGCACGTCCAGTAAATACTGAGAGCCCATCACGTGCCAAGCAATGTTCCAAGAAATAAGGTTATGTTAATGAACAAGACAAAGCCTGGAGATGATTTTATCATCTGTGTGAAGAGAGAATGACTGACTAGAGTATCAGGGGACCTGCTCAAATGTTTGCCTGACTTTGGCAATGGAAGGAGATGGACCTGAGGGGATCAATGGTAACTGGCAGGACCTAATGATAGGTTATGTGTGATGGAAAACAAAAAAGAAAGAATCACCTAAATAACAATGAGTGACAGAGAACTGAAGTTACTAGTCTTTGCTTACTGTTACCTGTGTCAGGTTGTGAGGTAACCTCGGTTGAATTATCTGCAGGTAACTGAAGAAGCATAGTCCTGGGAAAAGGGTAAAAGCAGTTTGTAGAGGAATAATTTCAAATGAAGAAGTTTAAACATAAAAGCAAACACTTAAGAGCGCTGACTACTGAATCTGAATGAGATGATGGGTGTTAAATAAGCTCATTGTGATAACCATTTCACAATGTATGTAAGTCAGACCATCACGCGGTACACCTTAAACTTACAGAGTGATGCAAGTCAATTATATCTTAATAAAACTGAAAAAGAAGAGATTACTAGCTGCAGCTGTCTAAGCACTTTACATACATTAACATTTAATCCTCGCAATAGCCCTATAAGTTAAGTCTTTATATTCCTTTTATAAATGGGAAAATCGGAGCAGAAAGAAGTAACTTGTCCAGGGTCACAGAGGGTAAGTGACAGAGTGAAACAGTCTGAGTCCTGAAGAAGTAAATGTATAACAGAGGGATAAGACTACAGAGCTTGGCTCCCGGGTGAGTGATATGGTTAATGAAAAGGAGGAAATGTGATTGGAAAATTAAAAAAGGCAGACGACAAATACAAGAGGAATGATAAACCAAATATGAATGACAAGGAGCAAACAAGCAACAGTCCAAATGCAGCCCAACAACATATTTGCCAGTGATGTCAGCAACAGGTCAAAGAAAGGGGACCTGGAAGATGAGGCAAAAGAAAATGGTAACTAAGAGAAGCTTCAGTGCTGTGAGGCCACCACATGTAATGACAAAAGGACATGCTACTGTTATTGTTTCGTCTACGATATTTATGAAGAATGTGCAAAAAACAGGGCGAGTTTAAAGATGGAGAGTTTTGCTTTAATGAAACCCTGATTTTAAGCACAAAGGGAAGGAACGACTCTAAAAGATGGTAACGTGGGGATTTTTCCACCTTTCCAAAATCACTTTCCTCTGAGTTTTCATTTGCAATTTATAAAAGGTTTCGGTCATCCCCACCGGCCACTGAGGGAGCATCAGAGTTCATTCAGCAAGTCTTCACTAGTTCTAAAGGCGTCCTAGCCAGGCCTGCTCACTCTGCTCACCAAACATCCCCAGTGGAAGGACACTCTCTTGGCTTTTTTTTCCCTACTTCTCACAGACCCACTGTAGACCTTGAGACCCGGCAGAGACAGATGGCCACCGGGACAGATGACTGCCAGGGCACCGCCTCCCAGGGCAGGAAGCCCTGAACGCTCCCCAAGGTAGGGAGAAAGCTGCCAAGACTCCACCTTCTGTTCTGGTTTCATACATAACTTCCTGCAGTTGCTTTTATTTATCTTCTGTCTACATGACTGGCTGGCTCAGAGGTTCTATTTTCCTTGGTCAACTGTTTTATATGGCTCTTTTTAATTAGGCTTCAAAATACTTTACAAGAGTATAAAGATAAAACTAAATTACATGCCAAATAATAAAAATACCTTTACTAAATGCCAGAAAGTCTAACACTTTACTCTTTCTCAAGCATTC